AGTTGTTGCTACATTTTTACCATTAACTTAAAATTAGGAATTAACATCTTACTGCTAATGCACAACATTTGAAGGACATCACAGCATGCGTTGAGTTGAGAACACTATATCAATTAAATTAAAATTTATCTAATTTCTCTACATTACCAAATTTACAATAAATAAGAATTATATAATTAGTAACAACTTTTGTTATCACTCATTATACAATAGTCAACCCTGAATACAAAAATATAAATACAAAACAAAAGAATAATCAAAGATCAAAACAAAGGACACAGTCATTAAAAGCTCAATAACAAAAAAATAACATTAAAATAAATTAAAATAAACACATGCATTCCCTGAAGGGGCCAAATTGCTTAATTTGCACCAGTTACATTTAGAGTCTCATGCAGTACTATCACTTCCAAATTCGGTACTATTATAGACAATTTCGATGAACTTACTAATATTTTCCCACTACCTATGATTTTTAACTGAATGACTACTAATAATAGGCTAATTCTATAAACTTCATTATATTTTCGTTTTATAACTACAAGCAATAATCAAATGACTGATCAATATCTCTGCTCCACAACAGAAACACTTAGACCATTCGATAAAACTCTGACGAAAGACCAACAAACTCTGGAAGACAGAACTAAACCAAAACAAATTGAAAGAAAATACCAAACTACTTTAGATCCAGTCATCTCATCAGTTCAAGACAAACTACTCGACGACTATCACGCAGATCCTGCTACGTTAAACACGAATGAGAAGAAAGAACAGGCTGTGGAAGATATAGAAAACGTTCCTAATATACCCAGGGAAGAAGACAATAATAAACCCGACGACATAACAATGACAAACCAAGAGACTTTGGTCAAAGAATCAGATTTCAAACCTGATAACGATAACGCATTGATACGAGAACTGAAAGAGAGTATGAACTTAAAAGGCATAGATGTAATTATTGAACCTGACAGAGTAGTAATGTCTGATAAAAATGACAATACAATGAAAGATCTTAAACATGAAGAGGATAGAGATATAATAGAACATAGTCCATTAGAAGAACATACAGGAGCACACGTAACTACTAAGGTACGTGAAGTCACTACGCCAAGAATGGCTAATGTAGCAGGTGAGGGTAGAACAATTAACTTCAGTAACAAGACTAATGAAACGTTTATAATGGATGACATTGATGACGTACATAAAGATAAACTTGATGAAATACTAAGGATGGTAACACAAAGCACTCAAATGGAACTGACTACAGAAGTTTATAAAGTTCCAATGAAACCCACAGAAGCAGATGCAACGAAATCTATATTGTACAAAATATTCAATTATTACTTAAAAGAAACAAGAGCCCATAGAAAGGTCAAGAAATTCACAAAGTCAAAGTTTAGAAAGGACGAAATCTCAACGCATGAAATTAAAAATATGCATTCAAGGAAAATTATAAAGAAGCCAATCATAGTAAGAGAAGTATACACGACAAAGCATAAAAGGCTACACGCTAACAAACTTTTAAAAGAAACTACTAATGTACGAGAAGTCGAAACGACAACACACAAAGAAGATGGAAACGATGAAGAAGAGGAAACAAGCTCTGTAACTACACCAGTACAAGTGAATATAAAACGTTAGTAGTATCTAAATATTTTTTCTACTTTTGATGTCATATTTAGACTCGTCATTCAACCTAGCAGCTCATCATCATCTTCATCAGCCTATAAGTGTGCACTGCTGACCAAACGCCTCTTCTCATATGGAGAAGGTTTGAGCATCAATCAACACGCTTGCTTAATGCAGGTAAGCAATTTCAAACCTATAATTATTCTAATGTTTCACCGTTTGTCAGTGGTGTCTAAGTTATCTTAGAAAGTACACAATATAACTCGCAAAAAGTCACCTTGGTACTTGCCGTTGGTAGGTTTCTCGCATCCTCCTTTAATCTATCGTCAATGTTAAAAAAAAAATACGTTTAACTGTTATCCAGGTATGCCACAAACTACAACCATGATGCTACCATACTTCCAAATGATTGACGATATGGATGAAGGGTACATGGTGGTGTTCCTCATCGAGCTGATGAGAATCGTGGCTTCAAAAGACAAGGATGATCTATTTGAAGTCCTCATTCATACTGAACAGATCGTGCTGCAGTGAGTGTCACATAATACCATCTGACATGCAAGTAGAAAGTTGATAATTTGAACCTTATTCATTTGTTTCAGACTTCATGAAAATGGAAAAATTAACTGGTTCGGTCAGCCTCTCTTAGACATTACAATGAAACTGGCAAAATCAATTACTGAATCTGAAACGGGAGTGATACAAAGTAAGTAATTCACATCTAATCAGATCATGTAGTGTATTGTCCAGTCACCTGATGGTAGCGAGATTGACTTGTCAAGGACACACGTACTTAGATATCATCATGAGCTAATGGTCACATGTAAACTACGCTAATTCTAATGATGTTATTACAGAATACGCTTCGAAATTAAATAAAAAGATAAGTGCACGTCACCAAGAGTTATCTCCTGAAATCAATACCATCATAGACTATGCTGATATGCTATATGATGATGAAGAAGGCACGAAGCTCTTCAATGTGCTCAAAGATTTTGATGATTTTCCTAACAGTATGTATTTGTGCGATGTACATTTGTAAATAGCGCCATCTATTAGTTGGCTCTCGAACTTCTTATAATGAGTAACTGTTATTTTAAATTTGTATTTGTTTTTTATATTTCAGTTTTACAACCTGGCTACTCAGTATGTTTAGCATTAATAGAGAGCTTCCTAAAACCATATCGACGGCTCAGTAACACAAAGTTGCGCCAACGATTGTTAGACTCTATTAACTTTGAGCTAAGAGCTATAATATCTGAAGCAGACTTGTCGGAGCGGAGTGCTTTGGGATTTTTAGGTATAAAAGAAGGTACGTATATTATATATCTAACAGTCATAATTAGTTGTAAATTTATTGGTTGTGGTTTAGTACCTTTATGTCGGTCAAAGAAATATTGACTCTTCAGATTTTTAAAATTCTAAACTATAGGTCGATAATTCTATCCGAATAGTGGCGCAATCTCCTCCAGTATTCTAAAAACGTTCTATAGTTTTTAGACGACCTTGATCATGTGTCGAATGGTGCGGATCCGCATGCAATTCGCTCCATTGTCGGCAACGCACTCGTGCTACCTCTAGTGTTGTGGGTGTACTTAGACTACGGTGTCCGCTTACTATCAGGACAATCGTAGGCGTTGTTGTGCAAAAAAATTGACTCGTCTTCTTTTCCACAGCAAAAGAACTAAGGCCGCCAGTGGCATCAGACAGCGACACTACAGTCCCATTCTCAAGGAAAAAACAAAAGAAATTTAGACACAAACTACAAAAGCTGAAGTCGAAACCAAAACATCAGACAAATAAACGAAAACACACAAAATTCCGACCAGATTACAGCAATGAAAATATTTTTAGACGTAGATTAAGTTATACAACTGAAACTCAGTACAATTATCCTTTGTTAAGAAATATGAAGCCGATCACAAGTATACAGAGACGGTACAAAATTGTTACTCCGACACATCGACACATGTTAAGGCACAGGTCGACACGTAGTTATATAGTAAACCTAATCAGTAGACCCACCAAGGAGTTCACAACCAAACTAAATAAAGCTAAGAATCAAGCGAATACTAGATTCCCTTTCCTCCATGGACAGTACGATTTCGAACGCATTTGAAGCACAGAGACCAAGGTCACAGAATTGAACGTGTTCATGGTAGAAATGCGATTAACAATCAGAGAACTAAAACGTATTAAATTTATATAATCAAATGAGGAATATAATTAAGCAGATAGCAGCTATAAGAAAGACTGAACGGGTTAAGACAATTCGCTATTCAATCAATAAAACTAACGATAACAATGGATCAGGTGACCAGAAAACTAGCGTAAATAACGCTTGCGTTGTGTTATTATCCAAGTGAGTGAGATTACCGGAGCCCAAGGCTATATTCCTACCTTACTCAACCTCCACAATCCTTGAGTCCCTAACCCGCAAAAGGCTAGCAATGCAACGCATCTCCTTAGACCGACTCTGAAAAATCGGACCGAAGGCCGTCTATGGGTGGTGTCGATTGCTAACCATCAGGTGATCTGTCTGTACGTTTGCTAGACTATTCCATAAAAATATCTGTTTCTGAGAAAATGCGTTCTTCCAGAAGCCTCGGATTAGGTTCTTCGATATCAGCATTACAAAAATAAATACATTGTTTAGAATTGTGGCTGGCGTTTGACAACATACATATTCTCTATTAAACTGCCATCATCACTGTCTTCAGCTGTTCTCATCACAGGCAACAATTTGTCCCGAATCCCCCACAATCCTCAAATTCCTAATCGCCAAAAGGCCGGTAAAGCACTTTCAGTACTTACAGGACGGTGTTTCGTATCTCCATAGGCGGCATTGATGCTTACCATAGTTATGTTGGTGGATTGTCAAATTATAGTCGGATTTATTTTACTTGGATTTATTACAATAATGTGCAGGGCGCACGACGAGTGACAGCAACGTTAATATTGAGTGTTCTGCCTTATATAACACATTACACTACTTACTAATTAGTGATGACAATACAGACTAAACATACATGTAACAACCATCAGGTGATCCATCTACTCGTTTACCAGCTTATTCCATTAAAAATGTTGTACTATATCAGACTAACTTTAATTACCATTAAGTAGGCATATTATAATAAAATGTGTGTATTCTTATTATTGGTTTTATTCCCTTAAAATGTATTCATACTACTATAGTATTATACACAACTTGAAATTAACTTCACTCAACAGCTTCTGCATAATCTAAGTGTTAAATTTTCATTCGCAGCTCACATCCATTCATGCTCACAAACTTTCGCATTTATAATGTTAGTAGGACACAGAGCTTCTAGCAGGAATTGTCACCGTCTTCTCCAATCATCCATTTAACTATAGTTGTCACTTGGTAGGGATAAATCTGAGTCTGAGTCTGCAAAAACATAAAGAAAAAATGGTTAGTAATATTGTCCAATATTATGTTATATCCAACAGCCATGATATTCTAATTCAGGGTAATGAAGAGGGGATATAGGAGGGTGAATTATCAGCCTCCTCTCAATTAGAGGGTTTCACTTAACCTGGACTTACTTGGCAGAAGTCGTAACCTCAAAGGTTCAGGTTTATTAGAGACCCGGAGCTGCGGACGACTTAGCAGGTTACCGTAGTAGGGACGGGACTGTGTTTAGTCAGTAAGAGTCCGTTGCTCCCTCTCGCCTCGCACAAGGCGGGAGAATCATTCGATGATTTTGTCCCGAAAAAAGCATGGTGATAAATGTGTGTCCTATTCTGTCGAAATATCAATAATTCTTTTATAAACTACGTTTGAAAAACCAACTCAACCCACTTCAACCCCCTCTTTTTTGAATTCGCCTAATTAATATGCTAAAACCTTCTCGTACTTAAGTGTAACAAAGGATGGTGGCCATTAGGGCTGATGCCCGATACGGAGCTGCGGAAGGCCTAACGGGTTGCCGGGGCTTCAGCTCGAAGAGTAGGAGTAGGAACGGGGTGGGGTTTAGTCCGTATGAATCTGACACTCCCTCTCATCTAACCCAAGGCTGGGGCAAGTCATTTGATAATTCACTCCTCTCAAAAAAACATAGGATAACAAACACTTTTTTGAAAACCGCATTCATAACGGCTCTGACAATCTTGAGGTAATCGTACACACATACAGGTCGAACCGAACTGACCTTTTTTTTAAAGTCGTTTATAAAACAAATACTTTTTTGTTTAAATACCTGAGTTTTTACTCGCCATACGTTGGTCATTTTCTTCGTTTAAAATATAAGCATAAGATTTCAAAGCTTCCATCTTGTCGTAGTCTTCATCGGCTTGTGCTTTGACAATCATATTTTGTAATTTTTCTTTAACAGCTTCAATTTCATTTGTCGATACATCCTCATCATCTTTTACCGGTGGTTTTTTTAATTCAAAGTCACTTTTTTCTTCTTCTTTTTCGAGTACTTTTTTAATTACCTTACTATTGACTAGAAAGTATGTATCTGATCCTGCTGTGTCATCCTTACTGTCATCGAAATCATTGAAATCTGCGTCTTTGTTTGAATCCCTATCTAGATCAATTGCACGTACTTTCTGATTTCCATATGATGAAGCTAATATTCGATTTTTGTAATTTCTAGTCGTTTTTTTATCTTCATTATTATATTTGATTTTGTATCCATTTCTTTTGTTTGCTTCTAACACATAATTGTTAATGACTGGTGTCATATCTCCAACATACTTTGACGTTCTTTTAAATGATTCAATATTAAGTCGAGAAGAGAAATGTTTTATGATGTCATCAACTTCTTTTTCCTTCTTATTCTTTCTTTTTCTTTTGTATTTGTTGCGTTTGTGTAATTTTTTGATATATTGTAATTTTGGTTTCTTTGTGGTTGTTTGTACTGTGGATTATAAGAAGTTTACACAATGTTTGTTTTGATTATTATGATGGCGTGTGGCCACTATCTCGCCTGATGATACGCGATGATGGGACATGCCTACCACGACATCTATTCACTCAGGGCTTGAAGACAACCAGAGAAATACAGACTGTGGCAAAGAATTCTACTCATTAGAGGTTTGCACAAGAAAACTTGGAGTGGAACGCTGCGTTTGATTGGGTGGAACATCTACCAATAATAAAATGAAATATTTTGGAAGTTAAAACTAAGTAAAGTTTCAAGTGTTGTGGAAATGTCTATATTTAAACATATCGATACTTGTGAGAAGTTATACTAAAGGCAAAGTAATCAATTTATCTAAACTTACGTTCAATATTTAGAAGTTCACCAAGAATTTTAGTCCGTAAAGGGAATCTAATCTTTAAGGCGTAGTTGATGGAGTCGACAAGCGTTTGTCTGCGTTCTGAACGACTGAGTCTTCTGTATGGTCTTATGAAACTGTCGAGTATACATACACAAACCTCTTTTGCATTCTTTGAACCTGGAATTTGTTAATTATGAGCATACTAAGTTGACCATTAAGTAATATCAAAACAAACAACCTCCATTCTACCAATCAAGTCCTTTCAATTGATATCAATAATGGAGGTAGTTGTGGAAAAAATTAGATTATATTGTATCTTCATCAAGATGAAGAGTGTGTACGAAATATCTGATCGATCGTTCGTCAGGAAGGAGGTAAAAATCCAATTATTTTAGATCCAAAGAAACAAACGGGACAAGCTGAATAAAACCGTTTAAGGCATAGTTCATACCAAACGTATTGTCGGCCGCTGACAATGAGCGCGCGTTATAGTTTTTCACTTTTCCATTATTCACACCACACCGACTGTACTCTGTTACGTAGTGCGATGTCGACAGTGAGCGTACTCACAGTCGGTGGCGGACAATACGTTCGGTGTGGACGATGGTTAACAAAAACAATACGTTTCATATTATTATGTTACGTTACGAGACGCCATGTCAAACTTACCTTTAGGATATGTTTCATATTCTGTTACAGCTTCAAAGAGTTCACCTCCCTCGTCTTCATTGTACAGCAGATCAGCATAGTCTATGATGGAGTTCACGTCTACTGATACAGCAGTCTTTCTGACTTGCAGCATGTGGTACATCATTGATGAGTAGCCTGGAAAGATGACAATTCCGAAGGTGATTCAGAGGTGAATTAACCTAGAGAGCGCCCTAAGCAAACACCTCATTGACGTCCCTAATTTATTTAGCCGCCGCCACTCTATGGGCAGTTGGGCATGCGCGTCTCGCGGCGCCCCTAGACATTTGTCTAGTTTACCTTAGCGGTATATTTCACCCACCAGGACACCATGGCAGCGCAATCAGTCGCGCCATCATTTTGTCTGTAACCTACCAATCTAGACAGCACACAGACACCAGAGTCACCGCATCACACTGCGACGGTAACAGACTGTAATGCTTGCTCCCGCCTAAGCTGGTCACACCGCTAGATTGGTAGCGCAACCAAGCGCACACCAAGTGCGTAACTTTCTATAGAGCTGTATACATTTTGTTGGTAGCGGCGACTGGTTGCGCCGCTATGATGTCCCGATGAAATATAGCCCTAGGGATAACGCTGCCCTGGTCCTAGCATTTACAGCTGGGGACAAGCGGCTCAAATCAGGAGTTAGAACGGGGTGGTACTTAGTCAGTAAGAGTCTGACACTCCCTCTCGCCTATCCCAAGGTGGGGAGAAGTCGTTGGATGACTTCCTTTTTCAAAAAAAGGACTATTACATCAAAAGTCCACTATAAATGTACACAACATTTACAATGAAACTGCCATACTTACTTCTCACTATATCAATCTCTCCTTCGCTGACGAACCGGGAAATATCAGTGATGACGTTGGTCAGGGGATCGCCGAACCACTCATGCTCAAACCAACTGTAAAATACATTGTGTTAGTGATAATCATGACGAGAAGTATGTATTGAGTAAAATTGAGTGATGAATTGACACATAGTGCTATCAGAGAAAGGTGTGGATTAAAAGATGATAATGTGACAAGGATTGAAAAGGAAATGTCACGATGGTTTGGACACGTAGAAACGATGAATGAAAGTACAGTAACGAAAGAAGTATACAGAGTGGATATGAAGAGACCGTCGATAGAGGGCGCCGTACATGGACAAAAATCTCAAGTAGATTGATGATATATTAAAGAAGGGCGAAAATGAAAGTACCCTTAATCGACGAGCATGCATGAAGAGACTGATGGCTGTTGACGCGAAAGAGCCATATAGAAGAATCGTAGCAATTGGCGTTTCACAGTCTCTGCCTACCCTCATAGCAGACAGGCGTGAGGTTACGTATGTATGTATGATGATGGTGATGATCATGAAACACTAACGTTCCCACATGTAGTTCTACTTCCTCCAACACATTTTTGACAAGTTTCTCATCCTTCAGAGAAGTAATCCTTAATATTTGTTGTAGGAAGATAACCAAATATCCTTCGCTTTGTTCTTCCATCATCTTGTAGTAAACGTGTCTCGCAGATGGCACCTGCGTCGTGGTTTTTGTTCCAATACCTAAAATAATTATAAAAAGACATTAAACATTGACTTCTTTCATGGCCTTCGTCCGCGTTCCCGTGGGATAAGAAGCCTACATGGTATTCCAGACCATGACCTACCCCTGTTCCAAATTTCATTCAGATTCCTTCAGCCGTTTTAACGTGAAGGAGTAATAAACAAACACGTATGTTTCACGTGTCTAATGTTTGGACATAATCTACCAGACGACATTAAGTTAAAAGTTAGTCATCATCATAGCTCTAAATATGGCAGTAGTTCATACATACCTCCAAATACGATCCCTGTGTGGTCTTGTGGTCCCAAACTTACAGATGTGCTGGTCAGTGGATTGCGGTCTAGTGTTCCAAAAACTTCATAACCGCGCGTCTGTGGTGTAACTCTGTACAAAAACCAGTGAAACACGGAATGAGGACCGATTCTTCCAACGCCAGTTAAATATCAGAGGAACAACTTTGAATATTTGAGAATGACTGCACGGTTGGTGCGGTCGCTTGGCCGCCGGCTGCCAAACTACGTGTTAGCGGTCTGGGTGTCATGTGTATATGAACTTATATTTATAATTTGTTTGTGAACGCTTTTACGGTTAAAAATTATCCGTTAATTGAAAAATCGGCCTTAAGTTAGGAAAACAAGCAATCGTCGCCGCCCTTGACACCTGAAACACCCGAGGCGTTACAAGTGCGTTATGGGATTTTTTGGGAATTAGGAATGTGAGGATTGTGGGGAATTCAGGGATTCCCAATCCCTGATTATTAACTATTAGACCTAAGAATACAATTGGGGAATTAAGCACATTAGGGGGCAATTAGGCCTCCGGTAACCCCACTCACACAACGAAACACACTCAAGCGTTGCTTCACGTCGGTTTTCTGCTCGGCCGTGATATCACTCCGGTCGAGCCAGCCCATTCGCGTCGACGCATGGCTCCACCACGAGTAAAATAATACTTTAGAAATACTTACCTGTCTGCTGCAGCAGCAGATAATTGGTAGTCCGTAGGTGGTAGAGGATACCCTGGAGGAGTCAAAGGACCTTCTTTGTGTACAGGAATAGCAGAATTCTTCATCTGTTGTTTATGGGCCCACAATTGCGATTTGTACAGAGGACGTAGTGACTGTGGCACTGTTTAAATGAGTTTTTTGATTAGTACTATTAACAATATGTCG